CCTGGATTTTTAACCCGCTGCTACCATGGCTGATTTCAAGATATCATATTTACCGCAGCAGCAGATTGATAAAACAAAATGGGATAATTGCATCAATGGTGCAGCCAACGGACTCATATATGCGCGGTCTTATTACCTGGACATAACAGCCCCTGGCTGGCATGCACTGGTGTTAAACGAATACGAAGCCGTGATGCCATTGCCCATCCGTAAAAAATGGATTTTCAGCTACCTGTTTGAACCGCCTATGACACCCATCCTGGGTGTCTTCGGTAATGAAATATCAGTTGCACTGGTCATGGCCTTTTTACAATCAATTCCTGCGCATATTAAATTTTGGGACTACAGCCTGAATCATTTTAACCCGCTTACACCCGGTGTTTACCCTGCTTATACCCGTAATAATTTTGTGCTTCCGCTCAATGGTACCTACAACAGCATTGAACTGCAGTACCATGAAAATACAAGACGGAATATCAGGAAGGCAATAAAAATGGGCTGTGTCATTAAAAAGAATATTCCTGTTGAGAAAGTGATTGAGATCTGCCGGAGGGAGTTTCCAAAATTTACCAAAATAACGCCGGGGTTGTTTGATCAAATCAGAGCCATCTTGCAGCACGCGGAGCACCAATCAATTACATACGGCATAGAAAATGCAGCAGGAGAATTACTGGCTTCTGCCGCGTTTCTCTTCTGCCATAAAAGAGCGTATTACTGGCTGGTAGGCAACAACCCGGAAAACCGCCGGTACAATGCCTCTTCGCTGCTGGTAGATGCATTTATAAGTGATTACCAGGTACAGCCGCTGTTACTGGATTTTGAAGGCTCTGATCAACCTGGCATTGCTGATTTTTATAAGAAATTCGGCGGGCAGCCGCAACCGTTTACCACCATCTATTACAACCAATTGCCCATCCCTTTCAGGTGGTATAAAAAACCACCGGCGCACTACCAGTTATCCAATGGCAATAACAGCTGATAAAAGCCAATAAAGATTCAGCCTCTTTCCTCCAGTATTTTTTCTGCTACCAGCAGGTCAAGCGGCTGGGTAATTTTTATATTGGTAGATTCACCTTCTACCAGGTGAATGGCAATTCCCATACGCTCTACCACGGTAGCCTCATCCGTAAAAGAAGGTTCATACGGCTGTTCAAAAGCTTTCAGGAGTTGTTCTGCCAAAAAAGTCTGCGGGGTCTGAATAATGCGGACCCTGTTCCTGTCCATTACTTCATTGCCCGTACCCGTATCAATTCTTATTGAATCTACCGCTGCAATAGCAGGCGTAGCATTTCCTCTTTCCACCGCAGCAGCATAGCATCTTTGTATCAGTGCAGGTGTAACCAGGCAACGCACGCCATCATGTACAAAAACAACCGCGTCTTTTTCTACCAGTTGCAGGCCTTTTTGTACAGACTGATAACGGGTATCTCCACCTGCCGTTATTTCCACCCGCCGGGGTGCTGCCAGCGTTGCAATGATTTCCTTACCAGTTTCAATATGTTGTGCGGGCAATACCAAAATAATCTTTACATCAGTAAACGCGTCTAGAAAGGCGTTCAGCGTATGCCATAATACCGCTTTGTTCCGCAGCAACAGAAATTGCTTGGGCATGGATGCCCCCATGCGCACACCCGATCCTCCGGCTACTATTACAGCATATTTTTTCATGTATAAAATCTGACTTACTCAATTAAACTTCTTTCGCCGTTGCTGGTGTTTTCTCCATAAGACCAACAATGGCGGAGCTCCGTCCGACTGGTCATCCGGGCGGACAATCACCTGATCAACCTATCAACTAATCAACCAACCCCTATCTGTATATAGACACCTCGTCTGTACCATCACTGCTGCGAACACCGCGGTACATACCTTCACTATTAAACATCAATGCGTAATTACCGGCTGCATCCACACCAATCATTCCCCCCTCTCCTCCTATTTTCACCAATTTATTATTCACCACTTCATCCATTGCCTGTTGCAGATCCAGGTTTTTATACTCCATTATAGCACTAACATCGTAGGCAGCTACTGCACGTATAAATAATTCGCCATGGCCGGTACAGCTGATGGCACAGGTAGCGTTATTGGCGTAGGTACCACTGCCAATTACAGGCGTGTCACCAATACGCCCATACTTTTTATTGGTCATGCCACCGGTACTGGTAGCCGCCGCCAGGTTACCGTTCTGATCACAGGCAACAGCCCCCACGGTTCCAAATTTTTTATCTTTCATCAAGGCCTCCAGCTGATCGTTTGAATGATCCAGCACATAAGAATCTGAATCGCGTACCGCCTTCC